ATACCAAAAGCAGAGAAAGACCCAACTGAAAAAGAGAACTATAGGCCAATCTCACTAATGAACATAGATGGAAAAATTCTCAGTATGATACTGGCAAACAGAATGCAGAAGATCATCAAGAAGATCATCCATCCTGATCAGGTATGATTCATCCCAGAGATGCAAGGATGGTTCATCATATGCAAATCAATAAATGTAATACACTATATCAATAGAGCCAAGGACAAAAACCATATGATCATCTCAATAGATTCAAAAAAACCGTTCAACAAAATCCAACACTCATTCATGATAAAAACCCTGCAAGAAATTGGAATAGAGGATCTCTGCCTCAACCTGATAAAATCCATTTATGAAAAACCAACAGCCCATATCATATTAAATGGTCAAAAACTGAAATCCTTCACACTAAAATCAGGAACAAGACAAGGATGTCCACTATCACCACTCCTGTACAATATAGTTTTGGAAATATTAGCCCCAGCTATTAGACAAGAGAAAGAAATAAAAGGAATAAAGATAGGAAATGAAGAACTTAAATTGTCATTATTTGCAGATGACATGATACTGTATATAGAAGACCCTAAGAACTCCACCAAAAGTCTTTTGGACTTAATAACCAAATTCAGTAAAGTAATGGGATACAAGGTCAACACACAAAAATCACCAGCTTTTCTGTACACAAAAAACAGACTCACTGAGATAGAAATGGAGCAATCAATTCCCTTCACAATAGCATCCAAAAAATTGAAATACCTAGTAATCAACCTCACAAAAGAAATCAAAGACCTCTACTCTGAAAACTATAGTACTCTGAAAATTATAGTACTCTGAAAAAAGAGATTCAAGAGGATATCAGAAAATGGAAAGACATCCTTTGCTCCTGGGTAGGAAGAATCAACATAGTGAAAATGGCCATACTTCCAAAACTGCTATATAGATTCAGTGCAATTCCAATTGAAATCCCTTCAGCATACTTCACAGACCTGGAGAAAACAATCCAAAAATTCATTTGGAACAAGAAGAGACCTGGAATAGCAAAAGCAATACTAGGCAATAAAGACAAGGTAGGGGGTATCACAATCCCCAACTTGAAACTATACTCCAAAGCTACTGTGATAAAAACAGCATGCTAGTGACAAAGAACAGACCTGAGGACCAGTGGAACAGATTAAAAGGTGCAGAAACAACTTCAGACACACTCAGCCACCTCATCTTTGAGAAAGGAGCCAAACACCCTCACTGGAGGAAAGATAGACTCTTTAATAAATGGTGCTGGCAAAACTGGGTTTCAACTTGCCAAAGATTAAAACTAGACATATATCTCTCACCATGCACTAAACTAAAATCAAAATGGATTAAAGATCTAAATATTAAAACAGAAACACTAAACTGGCTGGA